GAAAATCAAAAGAAATCAGCCAAGACCTCAGAAAAAATATGTGTAGACCTCCACAAGTCTGGTTCATCCTTGGGAGCAATTTCCAAATGCCTGAAGGTACCACGTTCATCTGTACAAACAATAGTATGCAAGTATAAACACCATGGGACCACGCAGCCGTCATTCCACTCAGGAAGGAGACGCGTTCTGTCTCCTAGAGATTAACGCACTTTGGTGTGAAAAGTGCAAATCAATCCCAGAACAACAGCAAAGGAACTTGTGAAGATGCTGGAGGAAACAGGTACAAAAGTATCTATATACACAGTAAAACGAGTCCTATATCAACATAACCTGAAAGGCCTCTCAGCAAGGAAGAAGCCACTGTTCCAAAACCGCCATAGAAATGCCAGATTTCGGTTAGCAACTGCACATGGGGACGTACTTTTTGGAGAAATGTCCTCTGGTCTGATGAAACAAAAATACAACTGTTTGGCCATAATGACCATCGTTATGTTTGGAGGAAAAAGGGGAACGCTTGCAAGCCGAAGAACACCATCCCAACCGTGAAGCACAGGGTAGCAGCATCATGCTGTGGGGGTGCTTTGCTGCAGGAGGGACTGGTGCACTTCACAAAATAGATGGCATCATGAGGAAGGAAAATTATGTGGATATATTGAAGCAACATCTCAAGACATCAGTCAGGAAGTTAAAGTTTGGTCGCAAATGGGTCTTCCAAATGGACAATGAACCCAAGCATACTTCCAAAGTTGTGGCAAAATGGCTTAAGGACAACAAAGTCAAGGTATTGGAGTGGCCATCAAAAAGCCCTGACCTCAATCCTACAGAAGATTTGTGGGCAGAACTGAAAAAGCGTGTGCGAGCAAGGAGGCCTACAAACCTGACTCAGTTACACCAGCTCTGTCAGGAGGAATGGGCCAAAATTCACCCAACTTGTGGAAGGCTACCCGAAACGTTAAACTTCCGACTTCAACTGTATGAGACGAGTAATGCAAGATATGTAAACATTATTAAAGTGGCATTATTAAAGTGACTAGTGTTCCATTTATTAAAGTGGCCAGTGATTTTCAAGTACGTATGTAGGCAGCAGCGCCTCTGTGCTAGTGATGGCTGTTTAACAATCTGATGGCCTTGAGATAGAAGCTGTTTTTCAGTCTCTCGGTCCCAGCTTTGATGCACCTGTACTGACCTTGCCTTCTGGATGATAGCGGGGTGAACAGGCAGTGACTCGGGTGATAGTTGTCCTTGATTATCTTTTTAGCCTTCCTGTGATATCGGGTGCTGTAGGTGTCCTGGAAAGCAGGTAGTTTGCCCCCGGTGATGCGTTGTGCAGACCGCACCACCCTCTGGAGAGCCCTGCGGTTGTGGGCGGTGCCGTTGCAGTACCAGGTGGTGATACAGCCCGACAGGACGCTCTCAATTGTGCATCTGTAAAAGTTTGTGATGGTTTTAGGTGACAGGCCAAATTTCTTCAGCCTGCTGAGGTTGAAGAGACGCTGTTGCGCCTTCTTCACCACACTGTCTGTGTGGGTGGACCATTTCAGTTTGTCAGTGATATGTACACCGAGGAACTTAAAACTTTCCACCTTCTCCACTGCTGTCCCTTCTATGTGTATAGGGGGGTACTCCCTCTGCTGTTTCCTGAAGTCCACGATCATCTCCTTTGTTTTGTTGACGTTGAGTGAGAGGTTATTTTCCTGACACCACACTCCGAGAGCCCTCACCTCCTCCCTGTAGGCTGCCTCATCGTTGTTGGTAATCAAGTCTACTACTGTTGTGTCGTCTGCAGTAAGAAGAATGTTTATGTAGCCTATACCATCCTCAAATATCCGATGTCAACCTTAATGCGTTCAGTAAAATACCCACCGGGGAACAAATGGAGCATAGGTGTATCAATTCTAAAATGAATGCATACGAACGGGCATGCATGCTGCACATATAGACCCTATGCATGCAGAAACACAAGTATAGGAAGTTCTGTGTCATAGTTCTAGTATAGTGCATGCAGTCCATTAATTGGGAGGTTTTTATCATGGTGTAGGGTGTGGACAATCAACCATGTCTCAGAGCATTTCGTATTATTCTGTATGTAAATCCAAGACACTCCATTTAGTATGATATGTTACGTTTTGTATGGAATGTATTAATTTATGGATGTCCATCAACCATTTCATATTATATGTTACGAATTTGAAAAAGTGTTATATGTTACGAATTTGAAAAATGTACAATATGTTACGAATTTGCAAAATGTATTAAATGTTATTAATTTTCTAAATGTATGATATGTTATGAATTCTAGCTAGGTGGCTAACGTTAGCTAGCTGTAACGTTAGCTAGGCTAGGGGTTAACGGTTAGGGGTTAGGGTTATGTTTAGGAGTTAGGTTAAAGGGTTAACTTTAGGGTTAGGGTTAGGGAAAGGGTTAGCTAAAAGGGTTAAGGTTAGGGTTAGGGTTAGGGGAAGGGTTAGCTAACAAAGTAGTAAGTAGTTGAAAAGTTGCTAATTAGCTAAAATGCCAAAATTGTCTGTGACAATATTCAAACTCGCAAGGAGTTTGCATTATACTCCTACCCATCCACGCAACCAATCACCCTACTTTTGTTTTTGCCTTAAGTAAACATCTGCCTTATGTAACCATGTAACATATCATACTAAATGGAGTGTCTCGGATTTATGTACAAAATAATACGAAATGCTCTGAGACCAGGTTACGACTATATAAAAACCCCTCTGCCCAATTAGGTTTAATTAGGTTTAGCAATGGCACTTAAAGAGACAATTGTGGAGTGTTTAAATCTTTATATACCAAAACGCTGCTAAATGTGCAAAGGAACAATTTACATCCCATTAAGTGCTTTTCAATGGGGCATTGACTGGAACTAAAATATGCCACTATATCTGCTTAATTGAACTGTCCACTGAAATATGACACACAGAAGTACTGATTGACGTTTTGAAACGCATGCATGTCCAAAAGGAGTGCTTTGCAGAAACATCAAAGTGGAGCTCACTTCCAACTCTTCTGATTTTATAGCTTTCCACCCTTAATTAAGCCTCTTTAATTAGCTCCTAAGCTGTATAGCTTGTCAAATAATACTATTTCCGGTTAATTTTTTTGCCTTCGTGGAGTTTTCAATGTAGAGGCTTGGAGTACTATACAATGTTTCAAACTGTTATCTCTCACTGGCAAAGTTGGTGGATAAATGAACTGATGAAGGAATAAATAAATATGAATAAATGGTTGCAACTTTTGAATTCAGAGTGAAATATGGAAGTAATGGATTAATAGACAAGTTCAATCGTAGGCCTATTTCAAATTATTTATATGAACATCCCCTCTCTCAAAAATCTCGAAGTTGAGTGATTAGCAATATGTGACAATTAAATGGTATATGTCTGTTGAATTTCCAAAATGAAGTATGATTATTTTGGGGTTTAACTGATATAATGTTATTAAATTACTTTAGCGCCATACTTAAACAGGCTAGTGCAGGCCTTAAAAATTCGTAACTACATTTATTTAACTAGGAAAGTCAGTTAAGAACTAATTCTTATTTACAATGACGGCCTACGCTGTACCAATTGTGCGCCGCCCTATGGGACTCCCAATCAAGGCCGGATTGTGATACAGCCTAGAATCGAACCAGGGTCTGTAGTGACGCCTCTAGCACTGAGCTGCAGTGCCTTAGACCGCTACGCCACTTGGATAGACCTTCGTAAAAACAAACGTTTTATTATAGGCCTATGTATTTTTATAGCCAGCATAGGCTACAACATAATGTTCAACCTTGGTTGTAGTGTTATCGATCTGGGTAAGAGCGTCTGCTAAATGAATAAAATGTAATTGTTGATGTTTTAGAGTTGGTATGTTGTAGATTCAATAAAAGTCCCCTTTGACCACAGATAATTCTGAAATTAGGCCTATTTGTAGATTAAATTAAGCCTATTTCACCTCCACTCAGTTCTTATTTTACTTGTATTTATTCATAATCACACTATTTCACCATGAACTCGCTATTCGACCTATATGACTTTATAAATATATTATAAATACTTTAGAAATAAAGTGTAGCCTAAGCAGAATGTTGAAAAATCAAAGACAGGGGCATCTGTTTCTTGAGCTGTCTTTCAGATCCAAATTGATCATTTATTAGTGGCTACTTTAAAAAGGGACGCCGGGACACGAAGTATCGATTCGCGGGAGGTCACACTGCTGCTAGGCACACCTCAGACGCGCCTTGTTTACGCCTCGCGGAGTAGACAGGGGAAGGGAAGGCCCACGAGAATTCCAGGTCCATTTGATACATAAATACAATTAACATGTGGCTTGTGGAACGACTCCACACCAGGAGAAGAGTGAATATGTGAAACTTGACAAAGGGTCATCAATACTACAACACTACAGTCTTTTTGTCAATAATCGCACCATTTTACTCTCGTTATTGTGGCCCAAATTATACAGTTACAGAGAAGCACAATCAATTTGATTCAGGCCATTCCCTGTTTGATTTCATATTGTCTGTTGTCGAAACCCTTCGCGTGTGTGTTTGTTTGTGTGTGTATGTGTATGTGTGTGTGGTCACCATTACGCGCGTGCGTAAAATTGATTACAAGTGTAGGCCTACTATAATGTTGCCAGCAAATGAGTGCATGACTATTCAAAAACTTGAAACAAGTTGATTTATCTTTTTTTCCAGGTTTAACACCTAATTAGGATATCACCAGCAGAGTAGACTACTACAGCACAGCATAGCTTGTTTACTATTTCCTACTGTATTATATGAGCATGAAGCAGTCAATCCAATCTGGATTTACTTATATTTTCTAACATCCAATTCAACATGGTTATTTAACAAAGTTTAACGAATAATAGCCATCGTTAACTCCTCCAAGAATCAATACTAACTTGTTACAGTGATAATCTGTTTGAGTAGCAATTAATAGTCTTGCCACATTGACTTCTAATTGATCCCTTCACATTAGCCAAATTTGGAAGTCTCCTCACTCACCTGCTAGTCTGAGCGCCGACATTCTCTGGAACTCGGGTTCCTGCAGCCACTTCCACATCCTTCGGAAGGTTTCCCGGCCAGACTTGAGTTTACTCCAGGGTTTAGGGTTCCTCAGCAGGTCAGATAGGGTTCCCTGGGACCGACACAAGATCCGCTGGGCGAAAATGGCCTGGGGAATGCTGTAGCGCTTGAGCTCCGCCGTTATTCGCTGTGCCACCTCCTTGGTGTTTATTTCTTCCACCTGCCCCGAACCACCTCCCTGCCCACCCCCCGCCGTCTGCCTCTCCCGGTCAGAGAGCATGGACCCGTTAGCCTGAGAGTGCGGATGGCTGTGATGGTGCATACCGTTCAGGGATGACATGATCCCGACCCCGTGGCCCCCCAATCCCCGGGCCAGGTGCTCCTCGCTCCGGGACAGCATTGCTGCGTGAGACTCGAAGCTTCCCGACGAGAGCATTTTGTCGTTGGAGAGGTGTGCGCCCGGACCGTAAGCGCCAAGAGTCTGCTGAGAGTTGTGCAAAGACCCGAGGCCGTTGGAGAGAGGGGACAGCGGTTGGCACATGCCGGACATGTCTTTCGGGTAGTGGCCGTAGAGGTTGCCCATCGAGGCAAGGCTCCTGTCGTCCCGCATGAGGGTGAAGCTGCCGCTGACGTTGCCGGCGGCGAGTCGCTGGTGCGCCGGGTGGTGGTGGGCGTGCGGGTGGGGATGGTGGTGAAATTTATCCGAGACGGTGGATATGGGAGGCAGGTGCTGCAGCGGCGTCAGCGTAGTGTAAGTGCTGCTCATGGTCATCCCGGAGTCGCAGGACATGGTCATTGCGGGGTGCAAGGGACCGGACAACGCATGGTCTGTGCGATACTCCCCAGACCCCTCTAATATTGAGGCCATACTGGACACCATGGCTGAACGTCCGTGCGACACCAAGTTCCGATGCGACGCCAAGGACTGCCGTGCGTGGTGCGGAGAGTTCATTAAGTCACCCGTTTGATGAGAGTGAGATACGCCGTGCAGATTTCCAATGTTTTCCATTGTAAGTTCCATCGTTGAAATAATCTTTATTTCCTCCTCGCTCTCTCCTCTCTCCTCTCTCTCGCTCTCCCTCTCTCTCTCCCTCTCCCTCTCCCTCTCCCTCCGTCTCACACACTCCTTTCCAATAAATTGTGAACGATTTCAAAGCCAAACCATTGATTGTACTAGCCTCTCTTCAGTCAATACAGCATGATTTAAAGCGATCAGTTGCCCGCGACAGAGCTGTGCCACAAACCGCTGCTCACGCTTCTGGTAGGTGTCCGTCCTTGCTTGTAGCCTACTTTATTCGCTGTAGCCCACCTCTAGAAAGCAAAGGCTGTGCTTACAGCTTCTATGATGATGTGCCCGCGCTTATGTTAAGACGTGACTGTGCCTGTGCATGTGTGCGCCCAGTGTTCCAGCGTTAGCACTCAGTCTGGGGCTGTCTGACGTCACCAGCTCTCTGTCAGACACATGTTTGCTCATGTCGTAAACTAAACCTCGAATTTCTCAAAAAGATTACATTAGACATTTAAAGAGATAAGAGACAGACACGTATCTTTAGCAAAACTGCAAGCCCTCGTCATGCAACATTTACCTTGAGATATTGGGGAGTCCTGCCTGGATAAGAAACTTGCGCCTTTGGTTTTCCCTGATAAAGCCGCTTAACTTGGCGCCAGCACATGTGATTTCTCATTGGTTAAATATTAATTGACATGCTTAACATCATGCTACCTCCATAAATAAAAAGCTCTGTTCTTTTAAGTAATCTATTAAAATGCACTCCATAAAGATATAGGCTATGTATATATACTCTTTGGAGTTTTCAGGACGCACACATTGTTTATTTCATGATATGATATGTTGATTGATTTTTAGAATGCAATTGAGGAAAATGTCTTAGAAAAATGCTATGCATTTTCTTGTGTGAAAGACGTATGATAGGCCTCCATGCTTCTGTTTTTAGGCCTAAATGTAATCACGAGGCCCAATGTCGATACACTGAAAAACAATATTTTCACTTATCATATCCTTTTTTCATGAATCAAGAAGGAAAACGATATAGGCCTAGGCTCATTCTAGGATAGAATAACTATTAATGTGTGGTATATGCATACAGTGCCTCCATTAGGCCATTCGCATGAACGAATAGGTCTAAATGGTTTAGGAAAAAGCTAATTCTAATTTCATTTGTCTTAAAATGTACCCAATATTTGAGCCAACTAAAAAAGCCATACATTCGCATGAATGTATAGGCTATAGGCCTATATGCTGTATGCGCTGTGTATGCAGTTATTGTGGCTTGCACCAGATGGACGCTAAAGGCATAGGCTATACGGGGCCTCACCTATATTCTCATTTTAAGCCTAATTTTCCTTCACAATTTTCACACATTCTGAACCCATGTTAAAGCTCTCTGCCTGCTGACGTCAATCTAAGTCAGCAATCCTAATTCATCAGTGTCAATGGATGTATAGATCAGTGGGCGATTCATCGATACTGCAGCAATAAAATATACAGATGGCATAGGTGCTTCCTTTGATCACGAGAAACCTCAGATATATGGGGTTGTGGAAAAAGCTTTTTGGGTAGGCCCAAACTTTGAGGAGATTTAACTCGTAGTTCCACTTCAGTTAGGAATTTCGCCTGTCAGGTGGTTACCTCAAAATATGTAAATAATTTATTATGTGGCCTATTTGTCTTGATTTTCCTAGCCTGGTTTGTACAGTAGGTCTTTGTCATTTTTTAAAGAGCATCAGTTTCAAAATACTATTTTGCATGTGTAAAATGTGTGTGGAGTCCATTCTAGTTGTATATATGCCTTTCATACACGTGTATAGGCCTATATTTATAATAGGTTAAGTAATATAGTTTGGGCCAATTTTACATTGTATTTGCCGCACAAAACTAAGGCCCAGTAGCTTATCTAAGTTTAATGTTGCAATCAAGACATGAGTCTGTCCTAGGTCTTCAATAGCCTAAAACCGAGGACACCATCGAGGGCAGCATCATGAGATGTGGCGGATCTCTGCACACACAACACCTGAAAAGACGTGTAATAGGCTTTATAAAATGAAAACCTGTGGGTTAAAACACGGAAAATCGTCATAAAATTAAGAGTTCCGTGTATATGACACGAAATGTCGTGGGACAAGCCTATGTTTGTTGTTCGCTTCTTGCTACTTACTGTGTATATCAACGACATTCACTCCAATTTCCATTTGAAGGAGATTTAGAAGCACCAGAAAATGCCCACTTGGAATATGGTCCTCATTTTAGATATACATTTTAGTCATTTAGCAGACGCTCTTATCCAGTGCGATTTACATTTACATTTTGCAGACGCTCTTATCCAGAACGACTTACAGGAGCAATTAGGGTTAAGTGCCTTGCTCAAGGGCACATCGACAGATTTTTCACCTAGTCGGCTCGGGGATTAGAACCAGCGACCTTTCGGTTACTGGCACAACGCTCTTAACCACTAAGCTACCTGGATTTACAGGAGCAATTAGGGTTAAGTGCCTTGCTCAAGGGCACATATTTTTTTAGTTAAGCCTATTCACTGAGGCCTATAGGCACATATGTGATGTAATAAGTGGGCATAACTGTTATGAAAATTGACTTATTTAGCAGATATTACATTTACATTGTAGTAATTTAGCTCTTATCCAGGGAGACTTACAGGAGCAATTAGGGTTAAGTGTCTTGCTCAAGGGAACATCGACAGATAATTTCACCTAGTCGGCTTGGAGATTCGAACCAGCGACCTTTCGGTTATTGGTCCAACGCTCTTACGCTCTTATTAAGCTTATGCTCATTGAGTGTATGAGGATGTGATATATTTGCATACACTACAGAATTGACTCAATTTTGTAACAACTTAAGGCTAAGTCTACCCAAGTCAGGCCTGCATTTTAAATTTGGCAAATTATGATAAGGTGCTATGAAGGCCTGTGTCTATCTAACCCCAATTTATGAGACCCCTGATTGTAAAATGGTGCCTTGCTGTTAGCCAATGGATGATGCAACTGGTGGCATCAGGGAAACAACAGTGTCCGCCCGGGTTAATGTCCCTCTATTGATCCCTGCGACCACTGCTATCCAAAATGAATTACTCGACCCAGCAGCGAATCTGTCATCTCCACGCAGCGAACCTATTGGTCAGCTCTGTGATGGATGTTAACTTTCATCCTTCTTCGCTGCTAATTCACACGGGTTTACTACACAAAAAAAGTGATGTTAAAAGTTTTTATAGTGCCACTTTGTAGACGGTGCAGAAGGTTGCATACAGCACAACGTTCCTTGGTAGGCTATAGTCCTACCTGTTGCCTTATCATCAAAACTATATGTTATTTGTCGACATAACACTATCCCTTTATTTGTTTGTTATAAAGCTCTCGTTTCAAATCGATGTTAAACGTTGTTGTTGTTGTAGTTTGACTTTCAAAAACTGTTGAAAACACTGTGCCCTGGGCCATCAATAGTAGCTTATTGAACATTGTAATATAATCGAATGATCTACTGGACACACACACACACACACTCCCTCTCTCTTGATTTTAATCAGGACATGTCCATATATTTGGCCTTTTATTAAATAATATTGGCTAAGTTATTGCACCTTCAGCTTGAGTGTATAGTTCATAATAATAATTCGCATGCAAAACGACGCTGCCCCCCCTCATTCTTAAAAATATATGTATTGGCCTAGAGCTGTTTTGTAATTTGTATTTCAATGTAAGCCTACTGTTTTCTAATGTCCAAATAAGCATATCCTATGGCGAATAGGCCAACAATATAAAATATTAACGTTGTCGATATCTGCGGTGTAAGAGGCGCGATGCCGCGGAGGCTCAGAGATTTATTTCACATTATTAACAGCGGGTGGGTCGGCGGATTCAGCACCATCGACTTTACTCAGCCACCCTGGTGCTGCTACCTACTCCGTAGCATCGCATCACCATTCTAACAGGGAGATGCAGACTGGTAGGAAACATAAACAAGTGAGATATGCACGGTGCCTTACCAAACCTTTCACACCTTAACTAATAACTTTTTTGTAGCACCTGTTGTTAATAAGTAGAATAGCAGCATCAACAAACGCGTTTCGTTATCAATGACTATATGAACGTATTGTCTGGCTCTCTGTTAGACCACAAATCTGAGAAATCTGAGTCTACATTAGGTTTTTGTTGTAGGCCTAAACGTCATTTTTATTTAATTTATTTAGACTGATAAGTTGCGCTGGTGTTAATATCAACAACTTTATATTCATGATTAATATTATTATTATAATAATAATCATTATTATTATTATTATGCCTATTTAGGACTAGGGATTATTGATTTCTGTATTCACAAATGACATAGTGCTTCTATAAACGTTTTATTTTTTTATAACAATGTTAGAATAATTCATTTCAAAGTTGTCTCTCAATGTTGTTGGGAGACATGGTTGAATATTGGAATATAGTGTTTTTATATTAGCTGTCTGTCGTCTCACCTCAAGTCAGCGTGAACCAATGAAAGTGAATTCGTACCAAGGAAAGTGAAGCCATTACACAAGCTATATTTTTCGAGTCTTTAAAGAAATCACTCGATATAGAGACAGACTAATCTTTTCATGGCTTCTTGAATGACTCCGTCGCTGATGCATCACGCTTAATGTATTCTAAAGTATATTTACTTGAATCTGGCTATTGGCAAAAGTTAAGTACCCGTGTTTAGTAATGTCGCATTGATCAGTGGCCTCTGAGCAAGTCAGCGGGATGGAGCACTCTGCAATGCCACAGAGCCCCAGGCGCTGGATGGCCTTGGGTGTGAGAAACTCGGAAACTCGCTTGTTTGACTAGCTCTACATTAAGTAACTCCGTGTGTGTCTATATGAAACGTGTGTGTGTGTGTGTGTGTGTGTGTTTGTCAGACTATCACCACCTCCACTATGTTTCATATTTCTCATATGC